GAGGAACATTTGGTTGCCACATACGATACATGGCCGCAAAGGTTTGTCCAAGGAACGTGCCGTAGCTAAAGCCCCAGTAGACGAGTTTGCCCCTTGTCGAAGGAGGAGCAGCCTCACTGGGCGACAACACGCCGGCACCAAGTGGCGTGGTATCGAACCCGTTGTCCTCAAGCCAGGCGTCGTGTGCGGCGATGATGCTCTTCATATCAGCCGCTACATTCGGCGTGGCCATATACCTGAAACCGCCCTCCTCGACATCCTTCTGGGAGCACAGCTTGGACAACGCCCTGGCACGCTGTGCAAGCTGATCCAAAGCGCCGGAAGTGGCATTCGGCAAGCCGATATCGTGAGCCATCGCCAGCCATGTCAGTCTGTGCATGTAACCAAGGTTGTTAGCCGCGGCCGAGGGTTGCTCGCCAGGGTTGGTGTCGACGAAACAGTCAGCCCGCGGGGTTGTGGCGCCGATGCCGCGGGGGTCGAAGCCGATGATGTCGACGCTGCCTCCGGCGGCGGCCTGGATAGTGGGGCCGAACGGTGGGAACGTGAAAGTGGTACCTGGTCCGCCGGGTCCGCCGGGGTTGAGGAGAAGCGGGGACTCGGAGAAACGCCCCGTCTCTAGGCCGTGGCCGAGAGCAGGGAGGAGAACCATGGCGACATGGATCTTGGGATTATCGGAAGACTGGTTCAAGGGCCGTTGGTAATCCATCGGCACGGTCAATCGGGCGCACATGTAGCCCCGGCCAAGGGGGAACATGCCGGGGAGCTCGCATCGCACCCAGAGGAGCTTCTCGCTCGTGGGTATGTCATCCCAATCGGTGAATACTGGGAAGGGGCCTTGTTCTGGGTGAAGGATTACATTGCGGCCATAGAACCATTCACTGAGTTTCCACGACCATAGCACAAACAGAACGACTGCGAGGACGAGAGGCCTCCTCCAAGATTCTCTCCGCCGTGAGTGAACGGGCTGATACAATGTGTTTGACTCAGCGAAGCTTTTCGCCGACATGATCAAGGAAACAAAAGTGGCAAAGAGGTGTTGAGCAAGAGTCAGACGATAAATGGACCGGTGGTGCTATAGCTATGGATGGGCAAGGTAAGGTAGGATGAGAGGCGACAAGATGCCCTGACGACTACGTCGGTGATGAGTTGACGTTCGGCTCGCACTGATGCCTGCCAGCAGCAGGATTCTGGAGGTGGCAGAACGTAAGACGCGGCTACTGCACCATCAGCGCGGCACGCCGCACGACAGTTTGGCGCTGGCCAGTCACAAGTTGGGATCGGCGAATCACCCTTTTCCATCGACCTCTTGGCGAGGCGATCCGATGATTTCAGCGACTTGTCGAGTAATTGAGGTGCAGAACATGCAGTGCATGCATGAGGCACATTTCCCCTGATTATCTTCAAGCGAAGTCTCGGTGACTGCATGGTGAGTGTATGAACTACTTGGTTGTACAAGGGACGGGCACTAGTCCGGACGTCGAGGGACGTTTGAGGCGAAATTTGCGGTGCCAAGAGCCTCGAAGCAGCGTCTTAACCGGTTATTGTAATATTCCGTCCACGATATAGGATACCTGCGGCAGCGCTACCAAAGACAGCTCGTGGGTGGTGGAAACGCGGAGACGAGTCAGGACTTTGTACTGGTGAATTGGTCCAGGGCTTCAGGACAATCAAGAGGTGACCTCCTCTTCCCCCCGCGTCTTCCAGACCGGCTAGACCAACTGGCGCGTCTGAGGGTTGGCCTTGGCGTGTACAATTAGCGACGAGCAAGTGCCAGGGAGATATCCCGCGATGTTTCGCTGTTTTGGGTACGTTTGGGGACGGAGCCCACAGCACAGCTTGGGTTCGACCATCCGCTCAGCCCAGCCACCAAACAAGAAAAAACAGAGAGCGGCGGATAATATGGCCTTCTTGGAAAACCCTTGCGGTGATTACCCCGTACATCGTACAGGTGAGTTCCTGAGACAATGACATTTGATGCTGCTTAGAAGGACCTTCCATTTGAGAGAGAGTCTCTTTTTAGAAGCTCGCCACAACGTTCGCAATAGGTTCCGAGTTGCTGGCCTAGGTAGTCCGAACGCATGAATAGAGCACCGATAGACACCGGTTCGTCTAAGAGTTGATCAGCTAGCGGTCGAGGTTCGCGAACGTCTCAGATCACCCGCGAGAGCTATTTTGAGATTTTCTGAAGGATATGCTACGAATGAGACAAATGCGCGCGGCCTGGAATTGTTGCTGGACTCTCGTAGGTGATCGCCGCGGCTGCTGGTGCTGTCACAATCACTCGAGTTGCATTCTAGTGCCGTTTGACCGGCTTGGCCGACTGTGAGCACCGAGGTTTGCGTCCAAGGGGCTTGGATGACAGAAAGCTTGAGGCAGTGACGGTGCATCCGTCTGAAGAGGCAAGCGTGTTTTGGTACGGGCAAGGCCTTGCGCAACCGGGGCAGGCGACGAATATCGGCAAAGACGAGGAGTGTAGCCCTTGGGAACGTCCGCCGTTGTGGTGACTGACCAACGGGCCCGGGGTCCATGTGGGATGGAGGAGTTCGTTCTCGCTGGAGCGACAAACCCATGCAATCATGGCTCCTCTTCCTCAGTCGGCACTTGGAAGAGGCAACATTTGTCGACGACCAACGTTGCAGGTGGATGAGATCGTAGGGTGCATGGACGCCTCCAAGGGGTAGAGTATGACTCTGGACGAGCCAAGATGGAATAGCCAAGTAAGCTTGACTTGAGTTGACCAGGACTCGATTCTCGAAACAAACAATCCGGTGCAGAATCCGCGGCCATTGCCATCTAGGCCAGGCTGCCCGGAGTTTTGGCCCCCAGACTCAAGAGATTAGAGTCGGGCTGTTCGTGGAGGGTGGACGAAATGACAACACTTGGACGCAGCCAAGAGCGCCGATGGATGATGGTCTTGGTAAACTCTTGTCTTTTGAGCATCGGCTTGCGGACCCAATGGCGAAGAGACACTTAATCCCCAGAAAACGAAGTTGCAACATTGGAAATGGGGCCGCTGGAGAGTTGCTCATGCGGAAGGACTCGCGCTGTCCAAGACGTGCTGCAAGTGGTTGACAGGCTGGTTTCCAAGACTTTAGACTCCCAAGACCAGCCATTCCGCGCCGTCTCTTCCGGACGAAGCTTTATTCTTCCTTCCCTCCACACTCAACGCCGGACCACATGGCGGAAGCAGATGACAGTTGATCACAGACGGCGCACTAAGATGGCGACAGCCGCATAGCCTTTTGGCTTGCTAACCTAAAGCCCAGTGGAAGATTAGCTGCATCGAATCGAGAATGGACGACTGTCACACTTTCAAGTTTCCAGGCTGATGAGAAATCCAGCCAAATGTACCTTCTATACCTTAGGTTCTGTGAGGTACGGACGTTAGATGCAGATTTTGATGTAAGGCACAGAGCAAAAAGGGCACGGGATGCGCTTGGTGAGAAATCAGAGGGGGTGAGCGATGCTGGTGACAGGCAGGAGCCGGTCAGCAGAGTTTGGTTGTTTGGCAAGGCAGGAAGGAAGACCTGTCAGAGTCTCTACTTGCAGCCTGGAAACCTCACCCTGTCCTTGAGCGCGAACTCTTTCCTCCCACACCCAACAAAGTCTTTTCAACGGTCCAACCAACAATGAGGCAACACACAATCCTGATTCCGGGCAACGACACCGATTCGAGTTCCGGCCCATTGACTTTGCTGAATCTGACTGCCTTCAGGCTCTCCCCCGGTACACTTCGCCCTTTCTCGCCGGAAACCAGGCGGGTCAGGCACGTGCATGTTCGCTTCGAACTGGGGATATCCTGCAGGCCTCAACCTGCCCGTCTGCATTGAAGACTCGCGAACATGGTGTGTCATGGGGCAAGCCGCAAACCTCCCATACACTAGAACCGCAAAACGGACTCTTTCCCGTTCAAGGTTAGGGAAAATAGGGGCTTGGTCTGATGTCCCTGGCACCCGATGCTAATTTTGGCTACAAAACGGAGCCCGAGCAAACAACAATGTAGAGACGACCACCATCAGTGGAATCCTTACGACGGCGACTATCACGCAACTCCGAAGTCTCAGACACGGGCAGAAGTATGAGAGTGTGTCGCACGAGACCAGAAAATCCAGCACTCGACACTCGACAGTACTGCACCACAGTCACTCGACCTCAGACTCTCTCCCCATGCTCTGTCGAACTCGTCTGGCCTCTCTGCATTGCATCCCAGTCTCCACCCATCCACCCGGCCCAAGACTCTGTCACGGAACGCAGTTGGACCCTTTTTTCGCTTTGTACCGTCCCACGGGGTTCTTAGGGCTCCTCCTGACACTTGACAATTGGCAAACCATCGGGGCACGACTGTCATGCGTTTGCCCCTCTGTCCACCACTAGGCGTCTTTCCATCACCCGCAACCTGGAGTTGAGGAAACATTCGCCAGGGACACCATCCCGGCAATTGGGCAGAGAGGGCGGGCCGAACAGCGCTGTGCACGACTCGGTAGAGAAAACAACCCGATTCACTCTTCCCTCGTTGTTTAGCGGCTCTGCGAGTCTACGTCTGTCTGTCTCTCTCTCTCTCTCTCTCTCTCACCTGTGCGGCGTGCCGCGGACCAAGAGGTTACACGGCCGGGACGTGGCTGATTGCCCTTGGCCACTTGGCGGGCTTGGAGCCTCCATCCGCCGCGACATCCGTCAACGCCAATACCGGGGAGATCTCTTGTGCTTCTTGGCCGTTGCATCGATGCTCGATAGTCTGCCCTGCTGAGGGGGCAGCAAATGGAAAGGATGCTACCAGACGGAAGACGACACCGGCCATTCGGCGACCCGCCAAGTGCCAAGAGAATAAATCGCCCCTTGGCACAACCATGAAGGTATGCTTAGATGCTACGCGCAGATTTCTGAGCCTCTGGATTGTTCCTTTGCGAATCTACCAACGCCGAGTATCGTCCAGGCTGCTCACCCGCCACCTTCGTCCCATCCACCCACGCAGAAATCAACAACGAGAGGCAAAGAAATGGGCAGTATCGTTGCGGTGCACGTCCCAGCTACCATCGCAGGAGTGCTTGGCAAAGTCTCAAGAGCGACTGACCCACTCTGCAAATACTGCGTCCCTTGACCGTCTGCCAGAGAGTCGAGTCGGATCTGTCTACGCGTCCCGGGGGGTCATCCATGCCCTGGCAACATCAGAGCGTGGATCTCTGGGCCAAAATTGGCATCCTACCTGAAATCTCTCGGCCATCGCATAGAAACACGGCGACGATGCCAAGACCTCCTAGTCAGGTCTCTCCGTCAAGCTTGGTCTCGAATCGCCCTCCTCTTGCACACTCGACCGCGGCTGGCCTCCCAGATGGATATCCCAACAACCCGACCTGCCCAATTGGCTCGCTGCCTGTCTCTGGTGTCACCTGCGTTTCATGCCTCAACTGCGTCGGTGGCTGCTTGGACCTTACGCGGAACAATATCCAGTCCCGCTGGGCGGATTGTCTACAATGTACCGTCTCTAGCCTAGTCGTCCAACGGCCATCCCTTGGCGCTATTCGGAGCTTTCCAGCTGGGCAATCCCACCTCGACCACGACGACGACCCCCTGCCTGCGCCTCCGTACCGACTCGATCAAGAGCCTACCCCAGACGGTAGCCCCCTCTGCTAATGTCTGAGGGCCCACGACCAACTTGAGGCTTTGGACGGGACTCTATCTCTTGGCATCTTGGCGGCTGTGTCTCAAGCATGTGGCTAGTTTCCAGTCTCAACTCGTCCATCTTGGCTCGTGGGGAAATATATGAAAGCTAAATTCTCGTGCAATTTTTCAAAACTTCTCTTCTATTTCTTCTTTAGCTGTGCTCGACTGGTATCCTGTCTCTTCTCGGTTTTCTTCTCTCTCTTCTTCGAGACTTCAAAAGCCTTCTTCAATTCTTCCGCTGGTCGTGTCATTATTATACAACTCTACGCCTATTATTTAGTGTCACCGTCCCGCAGACCACCCTTCGCCCCTCCTTCCAAGAGCCGTCCTATCCGAATCACACCAACAGATACCGACTACCCGAACAGATCGACAAGATGGTCAACCGCTACCTCTTCGCCGTTGCCGGCCTGGCCGCTCAGCTCAACGCTCTGCCCTTGAACATCAACTTGGGCGCTTATTCACCTGCATTGGTGGTGGGTGATGGTGAAATTTCATTTGGCGGTAGAAACGACGTCTCCCAGTTAATGAACGTACTGGAGGGCGCCGCAGTTAATGCTGCTCAAGGTGCTGCGAATGCTCCGGCCGCCGCTCCGGCCGCCGCCCCTGCCGCTCCCGCGGCACCTGCCACTCCGGCCACCCCTCAGCAGCCGCCTCAGCAAGCCGCTGCTTCAGTCGGCGGTGCTACGCCGGTGACCGCTACGTCCTCGGACAACCAGATCAACGAGGTCAGTGGAATCTTCTAGCTTTCGGGCGGCTCATGTCTGTGTGTACGGGACACACACGGACGCTAGTACTATCAGACCAATATCAGCTAACATATTATTTCACCAACTAGGCCCAAGCCATCGCAGCCCTCCAAGGAATGGGCAAGGAGATCGCTCCTCGTGTACAGCTCACCAAGGCCCGTCCCGGCGAGAAGCGAGATCTCTCCGGATTCGACCGCGCTCTGAAGTACGCCGAGGCCGCCCTCGTAAAGGGACCCAAGGTGCAGCTTGGCACTGGCAGGGAGGGCTCTGGTGTCGGCATGATCATCGACAACAACCAGCAAGCCGCGGCTCGCCCTGGAACTGGAGGCGCCGCTGAGGCCGCTCCCGCCGCTCCTGCTACCCCCGCTGCTCCCCGCCCTGCCGGCGCCATTGTTGCCCAGCAGAAGGTCAAAGCCCGCTCCGACGACGCCCAGCAGCCCCCTCGCCGCCGTGCCAAGGTCACCACCATGTACGTTCGCTCTGGCGTTCCTGCTGGTAAGTAACAAACAATCCAAAAAGAACGCTCAAAGTATACGAGGCTAATCACTACGAAATAGGCGTCGAGATGACCCCTGAGAAGCTCGTTGCCCGCGATCCTTCCATCCCCGTTTCCCAAGTCGTTCCCGCCACCAGCAACAACGTCGTCAAGCGCGCCGTAGAGGAGCTCAACGCACGAGGCGTCAGCGGTAGTGCCATTGACACCGTCAACCTGAACGTCAGCGGCGAGGGCGTCACCATGACCTTTGTCGAGACTCAGGCCGACGACATAGAGGACGAGCAGTAAATGCTCTTCCCGCGTGTGTGTGTTCTTGGAAACCCAAAAAGAGCTTATTCAACCAAACCCCCCAAAATTGAGAACGTTGCCACGATTTGTTTCTTCTCCTCCTTAACTCATTCAAAAATCTTACGATTCCCGGCCTCAGCCCTAATCCCTCGCCGAGATCCTTGCGCTTCTCACTCTTACTCAACCGAGTTACGGCTCACTACACAAAACAATGGGTCTCGGCTTGCCTTCGCTTTTCACGGGCCTCAAACCTCCTTGTCTTTATTTTAACGCCATGATATCAAACATTTTGGGAAAGGTGGTGTGGGTGTTCGTTCTAGACAAATCACTAGCATTCGGCGTGTACAATTTTCATCGATGGTTGGAAAACGCCTGGTTATTTCTCCTTATTGGCTGTGTTGGTCGGCGGCGGCGGCGTATCGAGTGGTTGTGTATCTGAACCTTTTTTTTCTTGTTCTTTATCTCAAAAAAATACCTCTTTGCCATCTACCCAAACATTGTCCAGCGATTATTGATAGCCCCGAATCCTGCTTGCTATGCTTTTTTCTTCGATCTCTTTTTTTTTTGTGCATGTAGCATACATTGGTAGAAACGACCGGGAAACAAAAATGCCTGTTTCGTCCCAAGCGAAAAATTGACCAGACCTCGAGTCTGCGTGGCGGTTCCTGCATGAAAAAACATGTAGGCATGTGGAACCTGCAGCTCAAAGGGCAAAAAAGCCGCCTATTGACTGACCTATGGACGTATGGCGATCAGTTCCGAGTTGTTGTGGTTGTGAGACGTTCCATTGTGTTGCCGGCGAACATCGGACCAGCGGGACGTCGCAGCATCTGTCACAAGTCCCCTCACCCTAGTACTAGAGCCGCATACAACCATCGGCGGTATCCATGCTACTTGGCAAGAAATCGCCCAGGCAAAGAAAAGAGGCCAATGGGAGAGTTGTAGCGTTTCCCTTTGTCAGCGGGCGCGTCTCAGGGGCTATCCCAGTTGTGCGGAAGGTGGGAGGAGCATGACCAAGGGTAACCCGCGGGTACGACCGAGCGGGCAATGAATGCGCTGCGAAGCCCGCGAGCGGCCTATCCGTAAGCCTCAGTAAGGCGCCCTGTCCCCCCTGGGGAATCGTAGGGCCAGCGAGATGGGCGGGTGACGCCGGTCGGTGTTTTAGCTTGCCGCGTTCGTTTTGTCGAGTTTTGGCGTGGATTGCCCTGGGTGCAAGTTTGCGTCTTGGGGAAGAAACATCCTACTACAAGAAAAGATGAGTCTGTCTGCCCGTCGTCCAGGTGAAGTCGGCTGCCTCCTGCGCACAGTCTGCTTGTTGGACTGTTTCCTTTGTTGGCTTGATGGGATGGAGGAATATCGACCAATTTGGAAGAAAATCGTGGATGGCGAGCACGAAAACGACACCCGAGGCCCGTCTTGAGGCCAGAGGGATGATCAGATTGCTGCTAGGACGGCTTCTTTGCTATGTTTCCTTGGACTCGCCCTCCATCCTTCGCAAGTCATATCGCACCCAGGCTAGGCTAAGAAAGACGTAGTGCCAAGCTCAACAGCAAAGCTTAGTTGCGTTCGTGAACCTTGTCGATCTTCGTTCTCGGAGGTCAAGTGGCCAACCCCCGAAGACGGGATGTTCTAACCTTTGGAAGGTTCAAAAAGAGGTTCTCTCGAAGACGTGAACCACCTCCGGGGCTTGGCGTTTGGATTTATAGTCCTCGGAAGGGCAGGAAGTAGATTGATGTGTGTGCTCCCTCCTGGGCTGGCCACGCGGCAAGTGACAAAAGATTTGAAATGTGTCAACCGCCCATCCTCGTCGTTTGCGTATGACCACGTGAGCTCTTGTGTGGTGACAGCTTACCAACGAACAGCCGCTCGGAAAGCAGCTATCCGAAGCCAAGCCTTTGGACTTGGGTGTGTCGTAGAACTTTTCTGGACTTTTTTCTTTGACGGTCGTTTCTCTTGGCGGGAGAGACTATCTCTCCCATTCCTTGTATTCTTTCTGCTTCTGGCGCGTGTTCCAGCCCAGTTTGCCGCTGATACTGTTGACCCAGTCTTCGCTGCGCCGGCCCTGAGCTTGAACGCTGGCAAAGGGATACCGGCTGGCACTGATAGTCACGTAGTCTCCGGGGAATAGCTCTACGCGCTCGCGGCCGTCAAAGCTGGCCCATGAATTAGTCCTCGCGTCGTAGGGCACGCCCACACGAAGTACAATTGTATCAGGGAGAATGATCGGGCGGAACGAGAGCGTGTGTGCGCAGATGGCCGTGACGAGCATGACGGGGTTCTCCGGGTGGCAGAGTGAGCCGCCGGCCGCCAGGTTGTACGCAGTGGAGCCCGTTGGGGTCGAAACGCAAATGCCGTCTGCCAAGATGGAAGTGAAGTGTTCGTCGTCACCGAAGATTTCAGTGTACGACATTGCTATTGGAGTTGTAAGGTCAGTAATCTAGAGTCCACTCGACAGGGGAGCATGATCGAGGACTTACTTGGATTTGGACCACGATCCACGACGATTTCGTTCAATATCTCAAAAGTTCCGTCTGGTTTGTGGGTATGCTCATCTTCCCTCTCTTCGCCGACCAGCTCTTCAACGAGATCAAGCTTTCGCCCATCGTCGTCTTGGCTCGAGCTGCTTTCTTCACCGTCTACAAGCTGTTTCCTCGTTTGGCTCCTCATGATTGTTCCCTCAAAACGCAAGCGCAAGCTGACTGTGACACCCTTATTGAAGGCATTCTCGAGGATGCTTCTGTAGTCCTCGAAGTCGAATTTCGTCAGAAACCCCAGACTGCCGAGGGAGAAGCTGAGTACCGGCGGAACAATGCGCTGGAATAGCCAGCTGGCGTAGAGTACAGTACCGTCGCCTCCCAATGAGATGACAAAGTCGAACATGTGCGGCCGGTTCCGGCACATGTCTTCATCCCAGTACCGGAGACGCTTCGAGATTCCTCCCTCACTTTTGCCAGGTTTCAATGGACCGGCCTCGGCAGCATCTTTCTTGAGCTCTTCAACTATCCCCATGGCGTTGAACTTTTTGTTGTACTTGAACTTCTCCTCCACGTATACTGTGTACACAACGTCCCGCTCATGGGATAGGAGCCATTTGGTCAGCTCCCTTGTGCGCGCGATCAAATCCGCGTCGTGAATCTTGGTCAAGAGAAAAATCGTCTTTACGCGGAATCTGATGCGCATACTGCTGAGACGTCTGCTGAGCTCTCGGACCCCCCAAGCCATCTCACTAAGCTGCTTCTTGGTAAGTAGTCGGCTGTGTAGCTCGTCGTCGTCGTCAGACTGGGTGAGGTCGATTTGAGAAGCAGACTTGATGATCTCGGTTCGCCAGGACTTTTCATCGGCCTGGCCAACGTCACTACCCTCGGGGCTGTCGGCTGCCAGAATCGACGCTCTTTGCTTAGCGAAACGTCCCTTGGGCTCGACAGTTTTCGATATGCCTGACTCCCCGGATACATCACAAGCACCCACTTGCCGATGAGAATTTTCATAGGTAGGATGACCGTGGTGGTAGTTGTCCGTGATGGCTTTCGAGGCGCTTGATACTGAATTTGACCGAGAGCCATGGTTGCTCGCGGAGGCTACCGCATTGCGAGCCTTTCTCTGGCTTTCGAGGAACTGGTGAACAATACACTCAGTTCTCC